ATAACTGTGCAGCTTTCAATTTTCCAAAGATGCAGTGCTCTGTGAGAGGTAGAGCTATTAATAGCAAATTCCAGAGAAGGGACAGCAGTCCTTCCTGATGGCATGATGGTGGAACTCCATGCCCATTGCACAGAACGAGTGCTCTGAGCTGCACCAAATTCATACATGGAGTTGCCTAATCTGATAAAAAAAGATGATAGGTGTTATTAAATATAGTGGTATATTATTTGTATTTTGGTAAATATATCTTGCCTGAAGACCAGAGGCAAAGCTAAAGTCACAAGAGGTCAGGCAATGGTGACACACACCTTTAATCTCAGGATTTGGCAGGCAGAATCAGATGGATCTCTGTGAGTTCAAGGTTACCCTGGATTACACAAGATCAATGCAGAAACAAATCCAGGTGGTGGTGGCTCACATCTTTATTCTCAGTACTAGGGAGTCACATACCTTTAATCTCAGCACTAAAGGGAATATAAAATTAGAAGAGAGAAAGGCTGTCAGTTTAGTTTACAGTAGCCCAGCCTTGGTAGAGGTAAGACTTCTCTAGTGGCTTGACTGCTTTGCTTTTCTGGTTTTCGGGTTGAACCCCAATTTCTGTCTCTGGGTTTTTATCATTCATGCTACAATGAGAGTAAGTTGGTTAATATATCCAAAGCATGGTAAGCATGTGTGGTATGTGGCTGTGTGTGTGGGTGGGGGTGTCAGCAGTGGAAGGGAGAGTAGACTCGCACTGCCACCACAATACTGAGGGGACATAAGGGGACACCTCCACCCCCATGCTCCACCACACCTTGTCAGGGACCCCCACCAAAGTAAAGGCATATCATTGACTATACTGTAGAAAAGAATTTCAAGATAGAGAGACACAATAGTTGGTAAGTTTGTTAAGTAGTGAAAATCGAAAGTGTGTGTGTGTGTGTGTGTGTGTGTGTGTGTGTGTATGAGGGGTTGGGAAAAACATTAAGACGGGACATGGGTGTCTAGGTGTCCTCACAATGTCATATATGATTCTGTGGATTTCTAAGTTCAAAAGATGTGGGCGAGAGGTAGCTGAATGGGTAAAGGTGCTGACCACACAAGCCTGGTAGCCTGAATCAGAATCCAGGAACCCATATGAAGGTGAACAGAAGAACTGATCCCACAGAACTGTCTTCAAATCTCCACACACATGCAGTGGCTCATGCATTATACCCCATCGCTCTCACACACATAATAAATAGGAAAAAACTTTAAAATATTGATTTACAACAGGTTTAAAGGTTAAACAAAATGTAAAAATCAAGTAAAAGTTCTAGGGGCTAGAGAGATGGTGAAGAGCACGCAGCAACTGTGAGAAGGACACGAGGCTGGTTCTCAGCCCCCACAAGAGAGCCCACACAACAGTCTGTGACCCCAGCCACCAGAGCCCTCGGACCTCAGTACACACAGCACTCCAGCGGACACATAAAAATGAGCTGGTATTCTTATTTTTTCTTATCTTAAAGAATTTCCTTTTGCAAATGAAATTGTAAGGTTGTTTCGCAATGTGTATGGCATAGATTTGGGATGAGAGGAGCACTAATATAGTAGACCTCATGGCCCTAAACTCCCGGACTGAAGCCATCCTCGGGCCACAGCCTCACAGGTAGCTGGAACTATCTAGGTGTCTGCGACCACCCAGCTACTTAGATACAGAAGAAGAAATCGTCATAGGCAGAATATGAGCTATGAAAGGCACCCTTGTAAGGACTATGAATAACACACACGAACAGAATTTATTTTCTCCTCAGGAATTTCTGAAGGAAGCAAGAAAACATCTTTCACCGCTTTGCACAACAGAAATCAACAAACAGTTTATGTGGCTTTGATTATTTCTCAAGTACACTCATTCTCATAATTCTGTGAAGTCATTTTGTTGCTATTGTTGTTTGGAAATTTTTTAAGAGAGAGGGCTTTGTGTAGACCAGCAAGTGCTTGGACTTGTGTATAGCTTAGGATGATCTTGAATTTCTGATCCTCCTGACTCTACCTTCTAAGTGTTAAGGTTACAGGGTGTGCCACTGTGCCAAGGTTGTGTGATAAAAAATTTGGAATTAATTGCCTTGAAGTGGAGGTAATGGTGAGCTGGACTATAAACTTCCTTAGGAAGAATTACTTTTGTGATTACCAACTGTTCTAGAAAGCTAGAAACCTAACTTGGAGATTATATATTTTGAGGTTTTGGGGGAAAGATCGAATCTGCAGAGACCCTAAAGGAACTAAGCAAACATTTTGTAGCAGGGCCTTTCCTGCCTCCATGCTACAGTTGACACCGTAAGATAGGAACCAGTGACAAGGAGTGCCATATGTCCCATTCGGTTTTTTATTTATAAATGGAGAAGTGTTCAGGGATCTCAGCAGCCCTGCCCTCCTCTGGCCATGTGTAGAATGGACAGGTGCAGGCATCAAAGGCTCAGAGCTCTTTCTATGGTGGTTGAAGCCCAACCTGAGGGCGCAGCATAGCCAGCAGGCCTTACAGCTGACAGGTAGAGAAACCGCCTCAGATGCTGGGCTGTGTGGACACAGCTGGGCTACCGGGGCTGTCTCTGTCTTCCGCAGGGCTACAGCAGATCTTCCCTACACCCCTCTCTTCTCTCCCAGGACTATTAAAAAGACTTGTCAACCTTCTCACTGTACTCTCTCTTCTCCCCTTCCCGTTCTCTTTCCGAGAAGATTAGGGCTTTTAATGGTAGAAACATTTGCTGGCTGCACTGAAAGGCAATTTTCACTGGATTTCAGACACTCTGGGGACACGGCTTTGCTCTGGAAGCTTGGAATATACGGTTTCCAAAAGCAACTTTATCTGCTCTCAGTCCCAAGAGCGGGAAAGCTGTATATAAATTTAACAACCTGTATTTGTTAAAATAGTTCAGTGAAACTCAGGTTCTTTTTTCCTTTCCGGTTCTTAACCAGAATTTTCTGTTTCATTTATTTTTCCCTTCACTGAGTTTATTTTAAACTACCTTTCTCTTCCTCTAGATTTTTTTTTGTGAGTGAATTATTAAATACTTCATAGTCTACTACTCTGCACTTGAAACATTTAATTATTTTATAATTGTAACTTTGTTTCTTTAATTTTTTTTCATTTTCCATTTGGTTGTGTTTTTAATGTCCTTTTCCCGCTTGTTACAATATCTTGAATATGAAAAGGTTTATGACTTAAGGGACAATTCATGGGCTTTCTTCTACTTTCTCCCGCTTTTCCATTCCATATCTCAAAATTAAACTTTGGAGGGTAGTATAGGCCTCTCCCCAAGCAAGGAGCTGGCAATAGATCAGAAGTGACAGTCACCTACCCTAAGATTGAGGCCACAACTCAACTTCCCATCCCCCAGACATTTTTCTTTTTCTTCCTTTATACCACACTTAAGGAGCTCTCGCATTCTTCAGCTCAGTCTCAACCTCCACTGGGCACTGAAGCTGTGCCATTACCAACACCCTGTATTCCTCACTTCTGGAGTCATCTCCAACCTGACTCCCCACCAGCATGATTGTCCTCCCTACAAGATTTTGCACAGGTCAAGACTATGCTGTCCTCTATGAAACGCCCAGTGTGAAGCCTAGATTATATATTTTCTCCTTATCCATGCCCTTGCCCCAGCCTTCCCTTGAGGACATACATAACACTCCTTTGAAAGATCATGCATGTACGAAAATCAAATAAATGGATGAATAAAATATCTTTAGCAGAAAACCACATACCAAAATACACTAGATCTAAACTTGTTCAACGTATGCATTGAGATCAAGTAGAACATACAAACAGTTAATCTGAGTGATGAGTTTTATAGCCACTGTGCACATACCACAAAGTTATATATGCTAAATAGTTCTCACAACTATAATTATAATTACTTTGATATAATCAAATGCTGACTTTCAATTAAATGATTATAGTCATACTTTTGGTGCCAAGGACCCAACCTAAGGTCTCAAGGATATGCTATACCCCAAGCCATATTTCTATATTTTATACTCAAGATGATTTATGCTTACCTCTCTTGGGTTTCTCAACCTTCCCGTGTGATCTCCTTTCCTGTCATTTCTCCTGAAGGTTTGGTTTCAAGTATATAAACTGGGGGGGATTAGAGTATGGATGATCCTTTTATAAAAATGTCTTTCTGGGCCACTCCTCCAGAATTTTACTTATAGCACTTATTCCAGGCATTGGATTGCTTCTGAACCGATACTAACCATGATTTTCTTGGAAACGTTTCCTTTAGTAAGCTCCGTTTTAGAGCTGGGAATGTACTATAGTCAGTGGCTTGCTTTCTTAGCATGCATGAAACTTGAGTTCGAGCAGTAACACCACACAAACTGGACATGATTGCCCACTCTGTGCCTGCAACCCTAGCATTTAGGAGGTAGAGGCAGGAGGATCAGAAGTTGACGATCATTCTGAGCTGTACAGAAAGTCTGGGGCCAGCCTGGGATGCATGAGACCTTGAGCAAAAACTCAAAATACAATACTACCATCAACAAAAACAGCTTCAATTCTTCCATAGTCCCATCTAGAGGAGAGATTAGGGTGGCTAAATAGTCACAGGCTCTCACAGTCCCCAGGATTTTACATGCCTCTCACAGCTATTCAAAGACTGAACTAAGCAAAAATATTTCTTAGCCAACTGGGCATAAGACTAGAAGGTTGGATAAAGCATGGGTGTCTCTATTTTGATTGAGTTGGTTGTTTTAATAGCTGCTGACATTTCCTAACAGCTGAGAGGAAATTTTACCACCAGTCGTTTTCATAATGACTATTCTTAGTTCGCAAAATAGCATAGTGAAGGATGAAAGTTTTTAATTTTTGAAGTTACATTCTTCCGCTCCCCACCTCCCTTTTTGCTCCTTGTCCTGAAATGGCAAGAGAAAGCTTCCTAGCTGGCGTCGGCCCAGTTGGTGTCAGTTACAACGCCGCTACTAGTCCTTGACCAGGGGACAAACACACGTGTGTCAGTATAAATTATTGCCAGCGATCTCCCTCAGTCCCTGCACCTGTCTCTGGTCTGTCACACAAAGCTGTCGTGTGTTTCCTTTTAAAGAAGCAGAGTATTAGTCGGCCGTGTAACCAGAGACGTCCAGTGTGGGACTGCACACAAAAAAAATCCCACTGCCGTTCCCAATGCCCACTCCTCAGAGTAGAGCAGGGAGCACAGGGAACTTAGAAAGTGGTCCTGCTAGACCAGGGCCGGGAAGGCACCTACAAGGCCAGGGACGTTCCAGCTGCTCCCAGAGAATGGACGCCGCACGTCAAAGAAACGACTTCTGGATTGTAGGTAGTGTGTGCCTTCTGTCGTCTTCAGTCTTCTGGCGCCTGTTTCGGTCAGTGGTGACATGGGGAAGCCCCAAGCAGGCTCCTGCGCTCGAGGATGCACAGGTAGTGAAATTCTCTTTACTGAGGGCAGGTTCACTTTGCAATTCTCTTTGACTATTGCCAGCTCAGAAGTGGTGCTCACCAAAGGCAATTGGTCCATGCCTTGCTGGATCTTTGCCCAGGACGACTGTCTTAGGACGGGCTGGGATAATAATAGTGACATGGAGCTCCTTCCATCGTTTCTAGCAATTGGACCAACCTTCGGGGAATCTTGAAGCCACTGTACCAGGGATTAGGTTAAGCTGATGATCTTCTTGGGGTATGAAAGCTGAAAAGAATGTTGGCATCACTTCATTTTTGTCCTTTTTGTATGTTCTAGTTATAAAAGAAAAAAAAACATGTAAGATTTGTCCCGTTCACAGGAAATCTTTTGTAGGCACAGCACTGAGAGGTGTTGAGTTCTTGGAACGTTGCCTCCCATGTTCTGGGTTGCTGCTGATACAATTTTTCATGTGACGCAGAAGCTATTCCTGTGATGGAATTCAGTGGACAAAATACAATTCTAGAAGAGAAAGTTTCCAACTAAGACTGCAGTACTTTCCAAGAGGAGTTCATTCCCAGGAAAATGGCTTTCTCTATGAACTTAATTGTTTTATCCATTATCGTCTGCTACGTCGTTTTCAAACATTTTAGACAAGTTTAGCAAACACAGCAGAAGACCATGTGGGGCAGCACTCCTGTTGGAGGCAGGCTTGTAGCAGTGTTTCTCAGCACCCTTTCCTTTATCTTCCCCCTCCCCGTCTTGATCTCCCCATGGAATTGTATTTCCTTTTTTTTAAGTTTTCTTTTTTCTGAAGGGCTAGAGAGGGGGTGTCATTTGGTGAAGTACTTGCGGGGCAACCACGAGGGCATGAGTTTAACCCTAGAACCCATGTAAGAATGACAGGCCTGGTGACCCATCTTGTCACCTCAATGCTGGATCTCAGTACTCGCCGGCCAGCCAGGCTAGCCTAATTAGTGAGCTCCAGGGCAATGAGAGACCTTGTTTCAAAAGGAGTAGGTGATGTTCCTGAGGACAATATCTGAGCCCCCCAACACACACACACACACACACACACACACACACACACACACACAATTGTGTGCCTACAGTGCTAGGTGTCAATCTCAGAGTCAAAGTCCAGCCCTTCCCATGAAATTTATTTCTACAGATACTCTGTTTGATACACACACACACACACACACACACACACACACAATTGTGTGCCTACAGTGCTAGGTGTCAATCTCAGAGTCAAAGTCCAGCCCTTCCCATGAAATTTATTTCTACAGATACTCTGTTTGATACACACACACACACACACACACACACACACACACACACACATATATCTCCCATTGAGTACCTTGATGCATTATATGTATGTGCATACTTTGCACATGCAAAGAGTAATATTTTCTTCATCTCTTCTCCCTTCTCCCCTAAAAGCCAATGTTCCACTGGGGTTTATCGCTGCACAGGTAATCTGTAATTTACGTGGTGGCTTGATAATTGTGTATCCATGCATTACTTACATCGTATCCTATGAGAAGCATCAGTTCTGCCTCTTGGTGGTGTTCAGATGACACAGCTCTGTGCTTCTCTGATGCCTGGGCCTTTCCTGGGGACCCTGCTACATGGACACTTCTTTGATTATCAAGTTCCTGTTCAAAACGACAGCCAAATCTTGGAATAATTGCTAAATGACTTTCTCTTAGTTGAGGACAAGGTAAAATCAGTGGAATAAAAACAGCAACCAAAAAACAAAAAGAAATAAACAAAACCCTGAAGGGTATATAAACATGTCTCTTGGCCAGTCCTGACATCATTGTTGTCGGTCTCTTCAGACCCAGTCACTGGTACCCAGGCATCAATCATGTCCGGCTGTTTAATGTATCTTTTATGGGAGATATCAGGAGGGCTACATTTCTTCTGTGAGAAATTCTGTGAGGGCTTTCAGCTTGTGTGTGGAAAAGAACGGCATTCACTAAAGCCCTGAGATGAGGACCCTGCTGTTTCTACCTCTGCTGTCTGACAATGAAAAGGTTAACAAGCACTTAGAAGCACCACATATATGTGTGAAAGGTTCTTGTAGTTTTTTAACTGTAAAGAAAAGCTCATTTATGTACTATTTACAGCATAACTCTCATCTTTTTCATCACTAATGATTATTTATAACATTGGCAACTGTTTATCTTTGAAGTTTGCCCGAGCACACGGTTTAGGGGTTTTCTTTCACAGAGATGTCAGAGAATCCATTTGTAATGTTAACATGTTCTCTCCAGTCAAGAGGTAAAAGTTTTTCAATGCACTGTATAGCTGACTGCTCATGTAAGGTTCTATATGCCCTTAGTACGTATACAGATGAGTAACCTTACTGTGGATGTTGGCTCGGTATTTCTGAATAGTCAAAATTATGATAATTTTTAGTTGTTACAATATGAAGAAAATATCTTTTTTTTATGAAGAAGAATTTAGTATTTATTTTTATTAGAAAAAAGAAAGTAAGTAAGAAACAAACAAACAAGCAAGCAGAGAAACCCCCTATTTGAATATTAGATAAATGTAAGTTTCCAAAGCACTCTGCTATCCTATGGTATGGGTTGTTGAGCTGCCCTTCTGCACATTGTTCTGTGAGTCTATGTCGAGAGACATGATCCTTCTTCCAGTTCACTGACATAGACTCAAAGAAAATATCTTTATTTTCACTATATCTCTACCAAAGGTAAAACAACATAATTAAATATATAATTGTTGATAGCTATGTCTATGTTTCTAGGTAAGAGAATGCTTAACACACATCTTAATGAGATTCCTAAACATAATTTACCAAACTGTGTTCCTATCCATTTCCCCAAATCATTATGGTTGTAAAATGTACATTTATCTGTTAGCATTACTCAGTCCTTCGTTTTTCACAGACTATCTTCATAGCTCTTACTATACAATTGACCCTCTGTATCCATGAATTGCACATCTGTGGATCCAATTAGGCATGGAGGAAACATTATGTCTGTACGGAACATCTGCAGACATTTTTCCTTGTAATTATTCCCTAAATAATAACGAATAACAGCTATCAGCAATCACACTGTGTTAAGTGTTATAAGTAAGCCAGAGATGATTTAAAGCATAGGAGAAGAGGTACACAGTCATATGTAAACTTCATCCCATTTTGTAGAAAAGACCTTTAAAAGACTTGGGAGCGATTCAGGGAACAGATCTCCCAAGCGTACATGCCAAAGGATGCTCTTTTATTTTACTTTTATTCTTAATTAATATTTTAATGTGTCAACCCATCTAAAACATTTTTTAGCAAAAGCAAAAGTGCAGCAGTGTGCTAAATGCAGATCTTTCAAATGGCACAGCAACGCATGCACAACGTAAATTTTAACATGATTTGTTATTGCGTGACCTCAGAGAACCTAAAAATCTCTCACAACTAAGGTTGTCCCTGGAGCACTTGCAACAGAAACTCTTTCCTGATCTTTGCCCGAGGAATTTATTTCTCATTTTCTGTCTAACATGGTGGCAAAGTCCAAGGAAGCCAACGTAAGCAGGCAACTGCAGTCTTCTTTCTAGAGAGAGGGGGAAATTGTTAACAAGAGGTGTTTATAGAGCACTGATATCGGGAAAGTTTGCCTAGGGTTTTTAATGTGGCCAGAACTTTATGTCTAATGTCTCCAAATTGTCATTCCTAATTTCCCACAAGAAACCAGGGCTTGAGTTTGGATCTTTAATTTGGGAATTGACTCCTAGGAATAGTTATGGAGGCTCCATGTGTGAGATAGAGAAAGAAGGAAGCCCCAGCGTGATCCTAGTTAAACTCACCACTATGGACAGGAGGTCTCATAGCTGCACTCCCGTTGTAGGAGCGAAGTCCGTCTGGCTATTGCTTTTGCTAAGCTTAACAGGGTTGTCTCTGTGTAAACACGATTCACCTGATGTGCTCTCAGAAATGCCAGAGAACTCTAGGGAGGTAAGAAGTTGTAGAACCTCTGAGGGGGACAGGGAGAGTCCCCATTTAGTTGCTGGAGCAAAGGTAGACCAGACTGTGTGAAGAAGATCGAGCACAACATATAAACATGGAAGTTTCAAGGTCTTTGAGGTGCTGCAATCAAGATAGTTTTCTTTTACCCAATTGCAGATTGAATTTCTGTTGTTGATGTTGCTGTTATTACTAGCTTATTTTTGTTTTATCAGTTTCCAGATGTAGTGTTGTTGGTATTATTGGCTTATCTCAGGGAAAATTGCTTAATTTAAGATGGAAGTCATGAGGAGGCAAGAACTAACACCAAAACAAGACTTCCCTGGGGACTGGGATTGCTTTTTGTGGAGATAGAGGCATATTAGATACATGCAGCCTAGTGGTGCGTGCCTTCAATCCCATCGCACAGGAAATTGGCAGGCAGATCTGTGAGTTGGAGGCCTACCCAAGTTACATGGTTAGACCTTGTCTCAAAATAAAAGGTCCATACAGAAAAAAAGGTGGGCTTACCAGGTACCCTGCATGCTATTGCACAGAATCCTAGTATATCTGCATACCTTGTCAGTTCTCTCTGTCTGGTTCTGCACTGGATGTAGACATAAGGCTCATGAACACTGGGTCACCAACAATGGTGGAGGTGCTTACTATTTCTCCCCACTCCTATATAGGGTACTTGTTATGTGGAGGGAGTCAGCTTCCTGAGCCTGGTCATTGGTGGGAACTGCTTTCTGGAAGCAGCCAGGTTTCAGCAGGAGTCTTCTGTGGGCATCGGGGCCTCCCCTGCTCTTTCTCAGAGGCACACACATTGACACAAGCTAGAGTACTCAGAGATGAAGGAGCTTCAATGAAGAAATGCCTCCATGAGATCCAGCTGTTACGCTTTTTCTCAATTAGTGATCAATGCGGGAGGAGGTGGGTGGTGCTATCCCTGGGCTGCTGATCCTAGGTTCTATAAAAATGCAGGTTGACCTGGTGGTGGCGCACGCCTTTAGTCCCAACACTTGGGAGGCACAGGCAGGTGGATCTCTGTGAGGT